GGCAAGTCACTCAAAATGTTAGGGTCTCTATATCCTTCTTTCTTTTTTTTTGGCTTGGGGAATAAGTTTATTGTCTCTCTTTCTTTTGTTTCTTCTTCCTACTTGCCCAAACTTGATTAAAGAAAAAGAAGCAATGATGGTAATTCACTAGAACAGGGGTTCTCAACCTGTGGGTCACGACCCCTTTCACATTCATAGTAGTAGCAAAATTACAGTTATGAAGTAGCAACAAAAATAATTTTATGGTCAGGGGGCAACCACTACCTAAGGAGCTGGATTACAGGGTCGAGGCATTAGGAAGGTTGAGGACCACTGCATCTAGAGCATAAGTCTATTTTCTAGGATTCTTTCCTCAAAAATATAACACTGTTTTCCCCAAACACATCGCAGACATGTACACCGTCTCAAATCATACTAAGTAGGCGAGAAGCTGAAATCCTGAACTGCTCATCGTCCAACGTTGCTCCGTCTGTGGTCTGTCATTGGATCTGCACTAATTGACTGAAGAGCAACGATGGCTTCCTGGATGTCTGTCTGGAGCTCTCTGGGTTCCTCTGGAGCAGCTATCGAAGAAGCAGCTTCATTAAGAGCTGCATCTCCTGGTTCACAACCAAGACTCTGCTCGTCTAAAGCAACAGACACACCCTCTTTTGTTCAATGAGCTTTAGCAACCGCATCCTGCACCGGGCACTCCTGAATCAAAATTCCAATTGCTTTTAGCATGTCTGATTTTCCGGTCTTCAAGCCAAAGAATAAAATTTCTAAATTCTGTTTCATCTTTGCAGTTGAAGTGAGCAGGGCTGTGGTAGTTCAGGGCCCTAGGCTTGTGGATAAACCTGGTTCCGGCTTCCCACAGCGGTACCCCAGGCTGCAGCTGGGAGAGGAGGGGAAAGGTGAGGAAGAGCAGGCGGCAGCGCACGCCAGTTTATTTTTGGTGGGAAACACTCACGGAAAATTATGGCTTGGTTTAGCTCTCCACAACCCACTCCTGGGTGCCGAGGAAGCTTGCTTTCTGAGCTACTCGATCTTTCTTCTTGGCAAAAGACATTTTGGGAAGACTCTACCTCTTCTATTTAACATGTTTCATAAATTAGATTCTCTCGTATAGTAGCATGTGCTTTCTTACACCTCTCCTTCATCATATCAGGAGTTATATTGTTCTTTATGCATTGAGAAAATTGTTTCTAAGCAACGTCATCCTCTTCCATTAGGTAACGCATGTAGCTGTAATGCTCTGACCCATGTTATGTTTCTGATGTACGTATGTATTGAATTCCTTGCTTTCTGATTCATGAGTAGGGAATGGCTTGGTACTAGGAGGGATAGGCCAGCCTCTGTCCACGGTCCCCTTTGGAGCCCCAAACACTTTCTTTCCAGTGGTTATCCTGGCAAGGCCAGCATCCACATAGCGGGTGAAGGCACCAGGTTGACCATCAATGCTTTCCACATGGTAGTCATCTCCAGCTGCCTCCACTTGGCCTTCAGCGATCTTTTCCATGTTAAACCTATTAAGAAGCTTGTGGGCCAGCAGGCGACCAGTCCAATATGCTGCAGCATAATTGATCAGGCCAACTTTCACAACGTACTTGGGAAGTTTGTGTGCACAAATTGCCCAGACAGTCATAGCCCCTTCTTTATGGGCATAAGCAATCTGGCAGATGATATGCCTGATGGTTCCATGAACTGTTATCCTGTATTGGGGTATGTTGTACTTCTTTTTATCTTGGATTACCAAGCAATTTTGAGCATAATAATCAGTTATGCCCTCTAGTCGTTGTCTAAGTTTTACTTGGTATCTCTTGAAGTAGGCCTTGTTCTTGACAACTTTAACAAACCCCATCCTGAGGAACAGAGAATGGTAGCCCTAGCTTGCCACAGACCTCAGGGCTGGCAGCTGTCCTTGTTTATAAAATAAAGTCCTAACACTCTAAACCTACAGGTTGGGAGGAAGGGCCTGCCTGCCCTGCCCATACAGAAGCAATGCAAGAAGGAAAAAGGGAAAGCGAGGGACTAGACCCCGTACTGGCACACCAAGCCCTGAGGATGACATCGCTGCACAGAGCTGCTAAGGCACAGGGAGGACTGTAGGGTCGACAACAGCTCGAGACATGATGTCTCCTCACAGGAGGATACCCCAACAGAGGACAATACAGTGAACCCTCGTTTATCGCGGTTAATCGGTTCTAGACCGTACCGTGATAAATGAAATTCCGTGAAGTAGGATTCCTTATTTGTAAATCAAATATTTTCGTAGTTAGAGCATAGAGGACATGAAAAAACACCCTTTAGTCACCATTACACTCGTATTACCCAATTTATTAAACGAAAAAGGGAAAATACAGTAAAATATTTTGGACGTTACAATTATCATTTATTATTTATTATATTATTTATGGCATCTAGTTTACAGTATTACATATTTCACATACAGTATTATTATACATAGTTCTTACAAATACTGTAATCAATAGCCTATGAAATGACTTAAGGGATGTACTCTACAGGTGGGTCGCCGTCTTTTTCCTCTGAAGGAGCGGGTGTAGGCAGTGGGTGCTGTTACGCAAAAACCGCAATAGAGTGAAGCTGCGGAAGTCGAAGCGCGAAGTGGTGAGGGTTCACTGTACTGGGGGACACATGGCGAGGAGTGAGTCCAGTCTTATCACCCCCACAGTTGGGCAAACCTAGAAGGGAACATAACAGATAAGCAATGGGGGTAAAGCAAAGCCATAAACTCCCTGAGGAGCCCCAAAAATAGACTTCAGGCTAGGAGGGGCCATTCTCAGAATGCCCCAGGACTGGTGGAGAGATAATCATAAAGGTCAGCAGACAGACCTGGAATTATGTATGCTTTTTCATTTTGGGAGTGGTTTTTTTCCCTCTTTATTTCAACCTTTTGTTCTGTTTCTGTTTTTTCTCTGTTACTGTTGGTTTTCCTACCTATGTAAGACAGGCACGGAAAGAAATCCCGAGGAGAGAACAGCGGGACCAACAGTTAGGGAGGGACTTGCAGGTAGGAGGAGGTGGGGGAAAGGAGCAGTACGCAAACAACGGCATAGACAGGGGAACAACTAGGGAATTAAAAGCGACAACGAGGAGAACGTAGAGATCCTGGGGATGTTGTAACAACAGCAATCTAACTGAGAGGAATTACAAAGAGGCAGAAGAAAGGTAAGTGTGATACAGGGACAGGAGGAAGGTAAAAGGAAACAGGAATGATCTACAATGCAAAGCTATGGATACTGGTATAAACATAGGCGTGCATTTATATAAATATATAAATCCATAAAAATAGAGGTTGTGGTAGTTACATCATCTGGTGCCAACTTGAGACTACTAAGAGTGAAGGGGTGGAGTTTATCCTGTCGATCAGGTTGCTGCTTGATGACCTCATTTGGAGGTGCTACAAAGATAAATAGCTGACTGGAAGTGGGACACACAGACTCTCTCTTTGGTGTTCTTGATGACAAGAAACATGGAGCTACACTAGAGCCCTGGAGCTGGAGGAGCGATGTGGAGACCCACACCAGTGTTGAGATGCTTCCACCACCACTGGATCCACAAGACTTTCCAACCACTGGCCTGTGATCTTCCTGTATTTGGTGTCATTGCATGTGTTGCATGAGTCTGAAGAGAAATTTATAAATTGATATCAGACATATGGGCTAATATCGGACTTATGAACTTGATGTGGACTGGGCTAGGATATTTTCTCAATATACGATTGCTCTTGTATATAAATCTATTTCTTATACACATGACAATAAACATATTGTTTTTCTAGTCAACCCAGACTATCACAGAGGTATTGGTCTATGTACATATATTTATATGGAAATATACTGGGTAAGTGGGTGGACTTTGGGCATCTGCTCAAGTCCTCCATCAACACAAGAATACTTTGGTCTAACAACCTGGTATTCTGTGATGCTCACCCTCCTGACAGGATAGCCAAAGACAAAAATGGGTGCATAAGCAAATGTGGTGAAGAAAGCTGATGGTGCCCAGCTATCAAAAGATATAGTGTCTGAGGTCTTAAAGACTTGAAGTTAAACAAGCAACCATCTAGCAAGGAAGCAACAAGCCCACATGGAAGAAGTACACCAGCCTGTGCAATAATACAGAGGCAACAGGCACCAGAAGACCCAAAACAAAACAAAAAAACTTATTGTTCAGAACTAGGGGGGTCGGAGCAGAGACCCAAAACCCATCTGTAGACACTAGGACATCCCATCACAGAAGGGTCACAAGGAAGGGATGAGCCAACCAGGGCGCAGCATAGCACCCATGAAACACACGATATTCCTCTGGTTCTTTGAGGCTTCCTCACCCCCCACTACCAGGCCCCTAGTCCTGCCTTTAAGTTCTGCCTAGACCAGAGCATGTATGCTGGTACAGATAAGAGCTCATGGCATGCAAATCCAGGTCAGATAAACCCCTCAAAAACAGAAATGGGAGTAGCAATACCAAGATGGTAGGGAGAAGGTGGGGGACTGATCGCAATGATCAGTGCATACCCCACACCCAGGGGGATAAACAACCGAAACCTGAGTGAGTTAGGTTTATATGCTACAAGGGAAAAGCTACAATATGTGGGATACTATCTATAATAGGTATCTTTGTAAGTAATACAGAGTTGGAAGAAGTAAACAGTTAAGACTTGGGATAGCTGTGGCGAAAATGGATTAAGTTGTGTCATGGTGTGCACTATAAACCTGACCCTTACCTCCCCCGGGGAAGAAGCAATAGTACTCTCAGCAGACACAGGACACAAAAACAGAGACTTGGAGGATGTTTGGCCAGTACCGATGAGCAAATACATGGCCAGGAAGGAAAAGGGGTTTTCCAAAAGTTACCCAGTTAGTTAGGGCCAAGAATGGATCTTCGCCCTCAAAATGAAGCCCAAGTAGTCCACTGAACAACGGTGACCTCCTCCCTTGTTCCCCAACCCCGCCGCCCGGCCGGGACTCTCAGCTCCTCTGAACCATGCTTGAAGCGCTGGTTCAGTACAAATATTCCCGAACGACGAGCTCCTTCAGGAGGAGTCCGCAGGAGGTGGGCTTCTGCAGCTGGCATTCTTCCAGTCTCTGCTGCAGGGACACGAAGTCCTTGCCCAGCGCGTAGGCCAGGCGAGCCATGGCGTCGAGAAGAGGGGCGTAATACCGGTGGCTCTCCCGGGCCTGCAGGCGACACAGGGCCCTCTCGCCCACAGCGAGGGCCTCCCGCGGGCGCTCGAGGTTGCGGTGGCACACCAGCATGGCGCAGAGGGCTGGGACCACGGTGACCGGGCAGTGGGCCGTCAGCTTTTCCAGGAGGGGCTCCACGCGCGCCAGGATGTCCAAGGCCTTGGCGTACTGGCCGGCCCGCAGGCAGCCGAAGGCCTCGCGCAGCTCGGGCCGCGTGAGGAAGTCGAGGAACTCCCGGGAGCGGCGCACACAGCGGATGGTGTAGAGCAGGCTCAGGTACTCTTTGAAAGCCAGCTTGCGCTCACAAATCATCTCCTCCGTGAAGTTCCCCAGCAGGTGCTTCTTGGGGAAGGCGACGTCTTCTATCTCTTCCCTGAAACTCTTCAGGAGGGTTTTCTGGAGATTCTCGAAGTCCGAGTAGCGCCGTTCAAGGATGGCTTTATTGCAGTCAAAACTCCCTGTCTGCACGACGATGATTTGGTACATCTGCAGGGAACGAGAGGAGGACTTTAATGACAGCCTGGCAGCGGGTTTGAGATGACAGACAGAGCTGCTGCAAACAAAAACAGTAATGTTTACGATTTTAAACATATCCTGAAAATAGCTTTTCTTTTTTTAAAATCGTTATATTAGGGGCTCATGGAACTGTTAGCACAATCCATACATACATCAATTGTGTAGAGCACATTTGTATATTCATTGCCCTCATCATTCTCAAAACATTTGCTCTCCACCTAAGTCCCTAGCATCAGCTCCTCAATTCCCCCCCACTCCCTCCCCCCTCCCTTATGCACCCTTGATAATTTATAAATTATTATTTTTTCATATCTTTCCCTGTCCAATGTCTCCCTTCACCCACTTTTCTGTTGTCCTTCCCCCAGGGAGGAGGTCACATGTAGATCCTTGTAATCGGTTCCCCCTTTCCAACCCACCCTCCCTCCACCCTCCCAGTATCGCCACTCACACCACTGGTCCTGAAGGGATCATCCGCCCTGGATTCCCTGTGCTTCCAGTTCCTATCTGTACCAGTGTACATCCTCTGGTCTAGCCAGATTTTTAAGGTAGAATTGGGATCATGATAGTGATGGGGGGTGGCGGGGGAAGCATTTAGGAACTAGAGGAAAGTAGTATGTTTCATCACTGCTACATCATCCCCTGACTGGCCCATCTCCTCCCGGAGACCCTTCTGTAAGGGGATGTCCACTGTCCTACAAATAGGCTTTGGGTCTCCACTCCGCACTCCCCGCCTCATTCACTATGATAATATTTTTTCTTAGGATGATGCCTGATACCTGATCCCTTCGACACCTTGTGATCACACAGACTGATGTACTTCTTCCATGTGGGCTTTGTTGCTTGAAAACGGCTTTTCTTTATCTGTGTTGATGTTTTGGATTGTGGTTGGACTTGGCCTACTTTCAAAAAGTAAGGACAGGAATTAACCCCAAGAATAGCAGACACCTGAGGTGTACAGGACCCCATCTTGGTTTTACATTATCAAAATTGGGCCTTGGTTTTCTGAAGTGAGAAGCTTGAATTTGATCTGTATTATCCAAGTGTTGAATACTTGGGAGATTTTTTATGTAGTATAGTGATGATGGTATGATATATTAAGAATTTTTTCTCTTTTCAGTTCTCTTCCCGTGGCCACAGAGGATACTAATCAAGAACACAGATTCAGGAATCAGGGTTATAATCCCAGTCCCATTATGGACTAGCTGTGTGGACAAGGACAGATAATTGAACTTGTTTGAACCTGTAAAGTGAGACTAGTAATAAGAGTACTCTCACTCAAAATCTTTTTCAATAGGCTTTGAAAAAAGTTTTATTGACATATAATTCACATATCATGTAAGTCGATAGTTCAATCACATTAGAAAGAATTGCACAATCATCACTACAATAAGTTCTAGAGCATTTTCTTCCTTCATATACTCCTTGTTATTAGCTCCCCATTCCCCACCAATCTCCCTTGTCATACCCCAACAAACCATTAATCCAGCTACTGTCTCTACCGATTACCAATCTTGGATTTCATTTAAAGACAACAACAACAAAATAAATGAGAAAAAACACCTCAATCTAAAAGAAAAGTAGAAATAGGCTGTTGAGTAATAAAATCCCAAATACCAAAATCACTGCCATCAACCCTAACTCATAGTGACCCTGTAGGACAGAGTAGATGCCCCTGTGGGTTTCAGAGGCTGTCAATCTTTCTCCCTCAGAAAGGCTGGTGAGTTCAAACTACTGACCTTCTGGTTAGCAGCTAAACGCTTAATCTATTCTATCACCAGGGCTGGACTAAATGAATTCTAAAATGCCTTCTAAAATAGGAGGTTAATCTCCCAAAATTCTACTCTGCTGTGCCATCACTTGTCTGTCAACTTGTTGTACTGTGATGGCTTCTGTGTTGCTGTGATGGTAGAAACTATGTCACTGGTATTTCACATTCCAGCAGGGCCACCCAAAGCAAACAGGTTTCAGCAGAGTTTCCAGATTAATAAATAAGGAGTAGGCTATCCACTTCAGAGGAATTAGCCACTGAAAACCTTATGGATAGCATCAGAACATTGTCAGACATTGAAAATCTCATGAATAGACGTAAAATATTGTCAGAGATAGTGTCAGAAGATAAGCCCCCTCAGGTCAAAAGGCCCTTCAGGTATGACTGAGGAAGAGCTACCATTTCAAAGTAGAGTCAACCATAATGACGTTGAAGGAGTAAAGCCTACTGGAGTAAAGCTTTCCTGACCTTCAATTGCTAGTAAGTCGTTATTAAAAATGAGAAGAAAGAGCTAAAACATCTATTAATAATTATAACCTGGAATGTGTGAAGTATGAATGTAGGAACATTGAAAACCATCAAAAGTGAAATGGAACACATAAAGATCAATATTCCAGGCATTAGTGTGCTGACTGCTATTGGCCATGTTGAACAGAAAATCATATGGTTTACGAAGCTAGAAAAGAAAGATTCAAGAGGAATAGCACTGCCTTCATCATTGTCAAGGAGTTTTCAAGATCTATCTTGAAGAACATTACTGCCTGTGTTAGTATACTATCTATCAATATGCAAAGAAATCCAGTCAACACAACTAGTATTTAAATTTATGTCCCAACCACTAAAGCTAGTAATGCAGAAACTGAAGAATTCTATGAACGTGTTGAGTCTGAAATTGATCAAACATGCAATCAAGATGCATTGATAATAACTGGTGAATGGAATGCAAGCTGACTACATCTGTGAGAAGACACCATGGAGCAGCTCAATATCAGCAGCTGAAACCACGCCCGGGGCCAGGTGTTCAGACCACCAATGCACATATATGTAAGTTCAAGTTGAAGCTGAAGGAAATGAAGACACATCCACAAGAGCCAAAATATGACCCTGAATGTATTTCACCTGAATAGAGCATCTCAAGAGCAGATTTGATGCACGTAATAGACAGAAGGTCTATCTACTGTGTGAGGACATCAAGGACATCATACATGAAGAAAGCAAAAGGCCACTGAAAAGAAAGGAAAGAAAAGATCAAAGCGGATGTCAGAAGAGACTGTGAAGCTTGTTCTTCATTGTAGAGTAGCTAAGACAAATAAAAGTAATGATGAAGTCAGAGAGCTGAACAGAACATTTCCAGGGGTAGTTCAAGAAGACAAAGCACTATAATGAAATGTGCAAAGACCTGGATTGAGAAAATTGAAAAAAGAAGACCATGTTCTGCATATTTTAAACTGAAAGAGCTGAAGAAAAGATTCAAGCCTAGAGTTGCAATATTGAAAGATTCTATGGGCAAAATATTAAATGATGTAGGAGGCATTGTGTTAGTCTGGGTACATTAGAGAAACAAATCCACAGAAACTCATATGTATAAGAGAGAGTTTTATACAAAGGGTGAGTGCACATCAAGAAAACATCCCAACCCAGCACTGCCCAAGCCCACAAGTCCAGCATTAACCCATATGTCTGACACCAATCCACAAAGTCCTCCTCCATCTCACAAAACACACACTATGATGCTGACTGCAGGAGGAAAGCCCAGTCAGTGAATGTGTAAGCATCTCAGCGCTGCCAGGGGTCTCCACATGGCTGCTCCAGCACCCAGGGCTGCATTGGAGTAGGTCCATGCAGCTTCTCCTTGGGGATGTCTTTCAGGAAGTGAGCCTTGCTAGCTGAAGCAGAGAACTGGCTAAGGCAGCTGCACCCTGGCCAACCATCAGAAAGCAAGAGACCCGAGAACTAGAAAGGCGAGACTCACCAAGCCATTTATCACACTGCCCTTCAATTAACCCCACATGTGTTTATCGGCCAGTTTGGCACAACAAACTAACTATCTCAGGCATTAAAAGAACCTGGAAAGAATATACAAAGTCACTGTACTAAAATAAAAAGAAAAAACATTAGTCAACATTCAACTATTTCAGGAGGTAGCATATAATCAAGAACCAATGGTATTGGACAAAGAAGTCCAAGCTGCACTGACAACATTAGCCCAAAACAAGACTCCAGGAATAGATGGAATGCCAATTGAGATATTTTACCAAGTTGATGAAATACTGGAAGCACTCATTCACTTACAACAAGAAATTTGAAAGTTGACTACTTGGCCAACTGACTGCAAGATATCCATATTTGTACCCATTCCAAAGAAAGGTGACCTAACAGAACTCTCAAAATATAGATATAAATATCATTTATATTACAAGAAAGTAAAATTTTACTGAAGATCATCCAACAACAGTTTCAATAATTTATTGAGAGACATTAGCCAGAAGTTCAAGTCAGATTCAGAAGAGGATATGAAACAAGGGATATCATTGTTAACATCAGATGGGTCTAGACTGAAAGCAGAAAATACCAGAGAGATGTTTACTTGTGTTTTAGTGACTATGCAAGGGCCTTCAATGGTGTGGATCATAACAAATATGGATATTCTTGAGAAGAATGGGAATTACAGTACACTTCATTGTGTTCATGCAGAATCCATACATAGATCAAGAAGCAGTTGTGCAAACAGAACAAGCGAATACTGCACAGTTTAAGCTGAGGAAAAGATAGTCAAAGTTGCATTCTCTCACCATACTTATTCAACCTGTATTCTGAGCAAATAATCAGAGAAGTTGGACTATGTGAAAAAGAATGTGGCATCAGGATTGGAGGGAGGTTTAGTAAGAACCTGCAATATGCAGATAGCACAACGTTGGTGGAAAAGTTTCAGTGGAGTTTCTATCTAGACTAAAACAGACTCCTAAGAAGGAACCTGAGGATCTACTTCACAATTCACCAGCGAAACCCGAAGAATCATGCAGAATGTTGTTGTAAGGTGCCCCCAAATCTGTTCCAACTCATCGCAACCCTATTTACAACTCAATGTAAATAAGACCCAAATCCTCACAACTTGACCAATAGGTACCATCACAATAAATGAGGAAAAGGCTGAAGTTGTCAAGGTTGCTTTGATATATACATTCAGTGCTCACTGAAGAGA